TGCCCTATTGTGCCATCCGGGGTCGTGAGTGTAAGCTGTGCGTTGTATTACATGGGAACCAGCAGCTTGTAAAACAAAGCTTTGAAAAATTATAACAGTTAAACATATCCCAACTAGATAGGACTGAAAATGGTAATGTCCTCAGGATGTGGCTGCTACGTATGATCCCGTCTCAGCTCCTCGTGGGATGAACGGGGTAATCACCGCTGGGTTCCAGGTGCGTGGGGGTTTGGAGGCGGTAGTGGGGTCTTTGCTGGCCAGACTGTCCTGCGGTAGACCCAGGGCTTGTAGTAGTGTTGTTGCCTCTTGTAAGTCCTGTAGAAGATGCGTGGAGTCTCCGTGTGTCACCATTAGCGTGTGAGACATGCGCCAACGGTAGCGTATGTTCTTCTGCTGTAAAAGGGAGGTGAGAGGCCTGAGGGACCTCCGCCATGCCAGCGTGCTGCTAGAGAGGTCCTGGTAGAAGGCCAGTGTCATGCCTTCCATCTGATAAGTGGACGCTCCCTTGAGTGCTGTGAGGACTGCCGCTTTGTCTGTTCCGGACTTGAATTGGACCACTAGGTCCCGTGGGGCCGTCACTGGTGCCTTAGCCGGTTTAGGGATGCGGAATAGACCCTCCAGGTTCATAGCTTTGGCCTGCCGCTGTGGGAGTAAAGCAGCCGTTAGCCTTCTCATTAGGTGCGGTAATTCTGCGTCCGGCACTTCCTCCGAGATCCCTCTAATTTTTAGATTATTTCGGCGTCTGGCATCTTCCTGTGCCGTGAGGCGGCGGTCATATACTAGGGTTTGTTGTTTTAGGTCTCTGACCTCTTGTTGTAGGGTATCCAAGCGCTGTGAGCTTGTGTGTGATGCTTCTTCCAGCACTCCGATGCGGCTTGTTAGGCCCTGCAGACCCCCTCTGATCGTGGCTATGTCTGCCTGAAGCGTGGCTTTCAGATCGTCCAGGAGTTCCTTCAGGACGGCCGTGGTGACCGGGGCTGTATCTGGTGTTGTCGAGCCCGGTTTTGACTTTGGGAGTGCCGGTAAGATTTCGTCCTCCCCGTCTGTGGAGAGTTCGTCAGAGAAATCTGAGCAGCCGCCAACGAGGGCGGCCATGTTAGGCCCGTATGCGCCCTGTGCCTGCTTCCACATTTCCCCGATATTCCTTCCCATGGTCGGCTTGTCTGATTTGGGCTTTTTTGATTTGCGCCCCATAGTGTTTGGGCAGGCGGGTACCGACCTTCGGGTCGAATTAGTGGCGGTGCTGGTAGGAATAAAAAGGCTTTTTGTGGCATAAAGCTCGGAGCTTCGGAGACATGCGGCCAGTCGCTTCAACAGCTTAGCTCCGCCCCAATAGGACTGTTTGAAAAATCAGTCTTCATGTATTTTTCTGCACAATGCAGCCGTTTCTGCTTGTGAGCATTGGTTAGTGGTGGCCGAATAGAAGGTTTATGCACAGTTGCAAGACTCTGGAGGACTCTACACCTTGATGTCCGTGGGACTCCAGAGGCACCAGCAGCTTCAAATATATGTTTGCTGCTATGTAATGGTATTTTAGCAGCTGCTCTCTTGATCCGATGCATGAATCTTGCAGAAATCTTCCTCAATGTGCCTTTATCTGCACGAACCCGTCTGTGCTCTGAATCAGCCACAAATCTCTTAATAGTGCCATGATCACGCTTAAGTTTTCGTGAAATATCTAATGTTTTCATACCTCGTCCAAGGCATTGAACTATTTCACTCTTTTTGGCAGCAGAGATATCCTTTTTCTTCCCCATATTGCATGAAAATGGTGCTCTGCTTAATAATGTGGAACACCCCCCTTTAGTAGTTTTTCCTTAAATTGGGCTCACCTGGCAATCTAATTATCACAGGTGTCCGAGATTGTTTCCAGTGATCAAAAGAGCCCTGTGACACAATGCCATCCATGAGTTAAACTGAAAAACAAAATATTTACTCTTTGAGACACTTAAATGGAATTTGCATAATAATTTGGAACAGGGTGTAAATCGTATCCATTTGTTCACACCCCTTGTGTAGTCAGTCAGTGTAACCAGATTCGTTTCTTAAACGCTTTGTCTCTCCGCTGACCACTTTTCCTACTAATACTCCTAACATAAAATAACGTTCTATAAACTTGAAATGAAACATAATGTTATCTCTAACTGTTTCTGATGTCATGTTCACTGTTTCATTGTGTATTTAACGAACGCCTGCATTTACTGTTGTGGTATTGCGGGTCGCATTGTATTTCCATGCACGATCAAAAATAAAGATTTAAAAAAAAAAAAAAGCTTTACACTGTATATCAAGATGTTAAATCCTTTATCATTTCGCATAGAAGCAGCAACGTCCACTTCAAATCAAAATATACCCACTCACGTCATAAAAATATATGGGTCTTTGGAAATCTTCCGCTTACAGTAGGTACATACCTAATCCTGAGAAAGAAGTCAGACTAGCATTTAATAATATTGCACTGCAATCCATTTGTACTTACATGTTTAATAAACTTTTATTGATAACTTTTTGGCCTCTTTATTGAAGGCCTAACCACTCGGTTTCGGCACACCACAACCGACTTTAGTTTTACAGCTTATTCCCATTTTCTAATTGTTATGTTATATTTGGCTTATGTTCCCAGACAGATATATAAGGCGGGAGTTGAATTTGGGGGTGGGGTTATTTGGCATATATAGCCTGAATACCCTCCCCTTACCTGCTGTCGCTTTCTCAAAGTTGCCCTACCACTGTTCCTTTTTTCATAAATTAATTACAACTAATGGGTCCTCTTTATTACAGGCCTAGCCACTCAGCGGTTTCGGCACACCACTACCGACTTTAGTTATACAACTTTTTATTTTATAATTACGTTATAGTCTATTCGGCTTATGTTCCATGACACAAATACTATGTATTTTTCCGCTTTAAATTTGTCAGCTCCCCTGAGTGATACGTGGGGTTCCTGCGATTCCTTCCATAGCACATACTCTTACCGATATGTTTGTACCTTCTATAAACACCGGATCTGGAGGTGCCCAATGCCAATCGCCACCTGGTACTGTGCAAAGGGAATACCCAGAGCATGCCATGATTTTTTTCCCCTTGCCATACATTTCACATTTTGAAGATTTTTTTTGCACTGAACTGTGTGACAAGGAGAAAGATACTGCTTGTCAGAGAATATCTGTTTATAGCACCATAATCCATCCATTCGCTGTATTGTCATTGGCTGGGAGTTTCACTGAATTGCTGCACACTGTATTACCTTACTGACACCAAGAGAAATATATACTGTACTGAATATAGATCACTCATCAATTGTGCTAAATCAATAAACAGATTGGAAAATCTCAGCTAACATAGCTGCAATGGGAGAAGTCTCCAGCCCCATTGTTCTTCCACCTTCATTATTCTGGCCTCATATGTCACATTTATTTCTCACTCCACAGTTTAGTAAATAACCTCTTATAGAAATTCACTATGTTTGCTTTTAAAAGGGTGTATTCACTAAACTGAAAACAAAATAGCGAAATCTACGCCCATGTAATTAGTCTGCATGAAGTAGAGATGGTTCCATGGGTGGTAGCTTAGCCCAGATTTTGAGGTTCAGTCTTCACTGGTGAATCTACAGCTGGGCGTTTCAGATAGAGTACCAGGTGATCTCGAGGGGATTTCTGCATGTTCCGCCAAAAAGGTGCATTTTGAGACTCTGCAGGGTTCCTTCAGCAATGTTTGGTTAAAGACCAGGAACTAGGATGCTAGATTGGCCAGAACTTCGTTCCAGTCGGCAGCCATTGCTTTCCAGCACACTAACAATAAGCTATATAATACGTGGAGCGTCCCCTTTAAGCAGCACCAAAAGACTTAGTCTTGATTTCAGTTCTGTCATTCCCTCCAGGCCTGGCTGGCTTTCAGTTCCTGGGACAGACCTGTTTGTCCAGGGACGCGACACTCCTTAGAAAATAATTTCACAGATACTTTCATTACAAAGCTGGAAAAACAGCAGTTTGAGAATTTTACCAGTTTAGCCTAAAATGTACATTTATATTTACATTGTTTACTAAATAATACACCTAGGGAGCATTAGTATATTGTGTGCTACTCACATTAGCCACTTAGAAACATAGAATGTGACGGCAGATAAGAACCGTTTGGCCATATCTTAAGTCTAGGATAGCCTTATGCCTATCCCACGCATGCTTAAACTCCCTTACTGTGTTAACCTCTACCACTTCAGCTGGAAGGCTATTCCCTGCATCCACTACCCTCTCTGTAAAGTAATACTTCCTGAAATTATTTTGACACCTTCAATTTAAAGGGAAACTATAGTGCCAGGTAAACAAAGCTTCCCCCTTAGTCAATCCCCCCCACCCCCCTTGGCGCTCACGGGGAAGACTTAATGCGCATGTGCAGCAATGGCCACGCTCGCATTAGGAATTCACCATAGGAAAGCATTATTCAGTGCTTTCCTATGGGGATTCCGGTGACGCTGGAAGTTCTCATGCATGGTGTGAGGACGTCCAATGTTGTTTAAGCGACTTTGCATCTGGAAATCCTTCTAATGGCTGTATGGTAGTACAGTCCTTGTATGCCAAAACGCGTTTCACTGTGAAAGCTTCGTCAGTGCCTTGGCTCTCAGGTGTAAACGCCTGGTGTCAATTTGTGGGGTGATCACAGCCAACTGAAGAAGCTTTCACAGCGAAACGCGTTTATCCTGTTAATCATTTTTCTCCTCCTTTACTGTGTTGATTCCCTTTATGTAGTTAAATGTTTCTATCATATTCCCCCTGTCTCGTCTTTCCTCCAAGCTATACATGTTAAGTTCCTTTAACCTTTCCTGGTAAGTTTTATCCCGCAATCCATGAACTAGTTTAGTAGCCCTTCTCTGAACCCTCTCTAAGGTATCAATATCCTTCTGAAGATACGGTCTCCAGTACTGTGTACAATACTCCAAGTGAGGTCTCACCAATGTTCTGTACAACGGCATGAGCATTTCCCTCTTTCTACTGCTAATACCTCTCCCTATACAACCAAGCATTCTGCTAGCATTTCCTGCTGCTCTATTACATTGTCTGCCTACCTTTAAGTCATCAGAAATAATCACCCCTAAATCCCTTTCCTCATTTGTTGAGGTTAGGACTCTATCAAATATTCTGCACTCTGCCCTTGGGTTTTTACGTCCAAGATGCATTATATTGCACTTATCAACATTAAATGTCAGTTGCCACAACTCTGACCATTTTTCTAGTTTACTTAAACCATTTGCCATTTGGCTTATTTCATGTAAATGATCACCAATTCAATAAGCAGCGGCTGGAGTTCTGTTTATTTGACAAGATTCTCTATTGTGATCCAGGCTTCCCCTGTACGGCCACTTGGAAAGCATGTGTAAGACAGGCACTTTATGGCGGATCCTGATCACCAGAGTAATAGTTGAAGGGAGGCTCCCACGCAGGAACTCAGAGCTACAATCATTGATTGCTTGAGCTTTTTTCCTGTTTAGAGATATTCCTTTTGAAGCTGTTAATTAATAACATTTGATTGCATTCCTGAGAGGGATTACGATTTTCTATCGGTTGGTGTCCTCCATTTCAGCAGACTCGGCCAGTGCTGCTTACAATTCACATTTACTGCTCTTTATACAGTATTTATCCTTATTCTACAGATCCTTCTCTACAGAACAAAATAAATCAACACTGGAGTAGAACAACACTTTATATACAAAAGCTTAAAATATCATTAAAAACAGAATTAAATAAGTTGCAACAAACAGGTCGCAATGTAAAATGCTCACGTACAGGTTTCGTAGTGAATTGGAACAAGTTAATAGCTAACTAGACGTTACCCATGGATTGTGCTTTTACTTCTCTTAAATTTTCAGTTACATGGCATGAGTGCCAGTCTAGGTATGGCATACAGACAGCACTGCCTGAGGAATGCCCAGGCTTGCATTTCCGTGAGTTTATATGTCACATCTTGTTTCAACAACACTCCCCTGAATGTAAAAGGACACAATCCAACCCGTAAACACTTCCATAGCAATGACCGTGCTGAGGAAACTAACTGTAACGTGGCAAGTAACACGTGGACAGAGCAGCCATGATACACGTTCTACATGCTATGCTAGCCTACAACACATCTCGCAGGGTGAAATCTCATCCAACCGTCCCTGACTCCCAGTGCCTGGCACAGACAATTAGCACATTCATAAAACAGGCTCATTAAAAATCATGACCACAAGGATTGCAGGTGCAGCCAGAGCATCTGATTGAAAACCGCGTGCCGTGAGATTTACTACATCGCCATGGAGACAGTCAACTTGCTCAGACTGCTTGCTATCACCAAGAACCTGAGATTTTTGTTTGAGTGGAACATTGGAAACCCAGAGAGACCATACACAAGCCCATCGCAGCCATCACACGACACACTATGTGCGCCTCCTCTTGTTGGCGTTTGGGCTGGATGGGTTGCTGTTGGCATTTAGGACTTTTTCCGTCAGTCGGCTCCTTTTCCTCTTGTCCCCGGATTCCTTGGTGCCCGATTCAGACAACGTTCTTTCCTTCTCTTTGACGCTTGGTTTGTCCGTACCTTTTGCTGTATTTCCAGAGGAATTGGTGAAAGCTGTATAGAAAAGGAAAATCAGGCATTTTAAAAACGAAATGCATTATTTGACAGGGAAAAGACAAATGGTGGAAATGGTTACAGTGGAATCAGAACATAAATACAAGCTAAACGTATTGCATACAAATATTCTGATCAAAGATGGTTCAGGGGACAGTGACAACAGGAAATAGTGATCGCACACTCTCATCCAAAACCTTATACAAAAAACGATCCTTAAAAATGACATTATAAGCATACTTTATCTTAATGAAGCGGTTTAGTGTATAGATCATGCAACTGCAGTCTCACTGCTCAATGCTCTGCCATTTAGGAGTTAAATCACTTTTTTTTGTTTATACAGTCCTAGCTCCCTAGCTGTGACGCACACAATCTACATGGAATTTTTGCAAATGTTCAACCTGATCTTACAGCACACTGTATTTACTTTTGAAGTTCTATCTCCTGCTTTGTTAATTAAACTTGAACCACACACATAAGGCTCCTGCATGCAATTAACAAAGCAGGAGATTAATTTTAAATTAAACAAAATTTTCAATAAAGGAAGTTTAAACATTAGATCTCTTTTGTGTATAGGAAGGCTTTGTAAGTCACTTGTAGGGAGGTGTAACTAGGGCTGCATAAACAAAGTGATTTATCTCCTAAATGGCAGATCATTAAGCAGTGAGACTGCAGGGGCTTATAGTGGCCCTTTAAAGGAACACTCCAAGCACTATAATACCAACAGTATGCTGCAGTAGTTATGGTGCCAGGAGTACCCTGCTAACCTCCCATTGTAAGTCAAACTAACGGTTTTAGAATGGATTGACGTCTTACTGTGTAGGCGTCACGTGTCATTCACACCCAGAGAGCTGAAGGCTCTGTCTGTGCTAAGCCTTGGAGTGCAGGGATTATTCCACCATAACCACTGCAGTGTACTATAGTAGTTATGGTGCTTGGAGTGTTCCTTTAACATGAATAAGGATTTAAAAAAAGAAAAAGCGTGTGCTGGGTCCCAGCCGTCCCCTCTTTAATGTAAGTGGCACCCGTGCCGGACTGTCCCCTTCCAACCGTTATTTCACCACTGGCAATATGTACAATATTGCTGGGGGTCCCAATATTGCTGGGGGTCTTCTGATCATTCCTAGTGGGTGCCTGAGGATGATGGGAGCTGTTTCCAGGCTCTACACTGCCAGCTGTTTCTGTGTGGCTGCCTGGGTTCCTCCCCAGTAATGAACGGAATATCAGTACCAATTATCGACTCTTAAAGAAATATTGGTTGATCCCTACATGATGTATATGGATTGATAGACAGAATGGACGGACAGAATGGACGGGGCCGGTGTGGGTGGACGGACGGAATGGACGGGGCCGGTGTGGGTGGACGGACGGAATGGACGGGGCCGGTGTGGGTGGACGGACGGAATGGACGGGGCTGGTGTGGGTGTCCTACCTTCGTCGGAGCCTGTGTGCATATCCACCTCTTCCTTTATTTCCTCTTTGATTTCTTCCTCTGATGTCACTTTACCTGAAAAAAAAAAAAGTCTGTATCAGAGCCAGATTCTTGGGACGGAGATCCTTATCTCCGTAGTTAAAGGGAAACTGTCATGCCTTAACTGCTCTTCCAAATCTACGCATTGCTTGTAAAACTGCTAGTGCAATGTATAGATGGAAGTTTAAGCTCAAATTTAATAGGGACAGTTTTCCTTTAAAGTGAAAATGTAGTGAACAGCATCTTTCAAACCAGATCTGAAAGAAATGTTCCTTTCTGCTACGGCTTGACGTCAATGTGCTCTCACCTTCTTTTACCTCCTGGATTATGTCCTCAGGGAGAATAAAGTTCTTTTCCGAATTTGGAAAAGGGAGAATCTCAGATTCATGCTGCAAAATAAAAACCTCACAATAAAAACACTTAAAACAACCCAGTTTGCATTATGTTGGTTCTCAGAAAACTCCTGCAACATAAATAATGATCACACTCTGCACTTTACCGACCCCTAAAGCCCGCTGTAAACCTACCCGAAACCACCTCAACGACCCTGCGTCCTCAAAGAAACGAATTCACAAATCTCCACAATGAAATGTTCATGGAAAATTCATCTTAAAATAATTGATCCAGCATTTTTACCAACTTTTTCCAACTCAGCTCCTGTCACAGTTTGACTATTTAAGTCTTAGTTTTGCCAGATTCTGAATGGCTACATGTTGGGTAGTTTAACTTTATTGGATCTGTCAGTACAATCTTGTAACACTTTGTCATTGTTTGATTATTATCACCATTTATATAGCGTCAACAGATTCCGTAGCGCTTTACAATATTATGAGAGGGGGGATTTAACTATAAATAGGACAATTAGAAGAAAACTTACAGGAACGATAGGCTGAATAGGACCCTGCTCAAACGAGCTTACTGCCTATAGGATGTGGGGTATAAAACACATTAGGACAGGAAATAGCAATCAAACAAGGTGGCAGTGAAGCAGAACTGGAGGAGAGAGTAGAGTGCTGCCCTTTAGGAGAGAGCATGAGACAAGTATGTGAGGTAGAGGTTACTCTGGGAGGCCAGTGGTGGAACTACCGCAACTGCAGTGCCCCCCTGCCATGTGATGTGGCCCCGGCCGCGCGGTAGACACGCCGGGGGCGTATGTTCAGGGTCCCATCAGGTGGCCCATGCTGTTAGGGCTACTCAATGCTATGCATTTCTAGGGGGCCCAGTCAACTCTGTGGCGCTTTAACAGCGTGACCGGGCCCCCTGAGATGACATGAGACAGAGCTGGGAGGAAGTGACTGCCCTGGTCACTCCTCCCAGCAATTAGAGTGCTGCGCAGGAGGAAGGAGTCCGAATGGGAACTCTGACTCCCATCAGGCTGAGCCACCACTGGACCCCAGGGAAGTCACCCTCCTGCACCTAAAAGGTAGGAAACAGCAGGGTGACTAAAATATTTTGTGTGTGTGTATGTTTGTGTGTTCTCTGTATGCGTGTATCTGTTTGTCTGCATGTGTGTGGGGGCAACATATGGGAGGGGGAGGGTAGACGTATAGGGTGGTTTCTAGTTATGCCTCCGTGGGAGGCCATAAGCTCTCCTAAAGAGATGGGTTTTAAAGCACTTCCTAAACGATTGAAGACTGGGGGAGAGTCTGATGGCGGTAGGCAGGCTATTCCATAGGAAGGGAGCCACCCGCGAGAAGTCCTGCAAGCGTGAATGCCGTACGGGTGCGAGCAGTGGACAGGAGAAGATCACAGGCAGAGCGGAGAGACTGAGAAGGGGCATATCTATGGATCTGTGAAGAGATATAAGAGGGGCTAGAATTGGTCAATGCTTTATAAGTATGGGTTAGCACTTTGAATTGACTCCTATACGATACAGGAAGCCAATGTAAGGACTGACAGAGGGGTGAAGTGTGAGAGGACCGACTAGAGAGGAAAATCAGTCTGGCGGCAGCATTCATTACAGACTGTAACAGGGCAATACGGCTTTTTGGAAGATTAGGAGAGGGTTACAATAACCAATGCGGGAAATTACTAGAGCATGAACAAGCTCCTTGGTAGCATCTTGTGTAAGAAAGGGGCGTATGTGGGCAATGTTTTTAAGATGGAATCTACAGGACTTGGTAACATACTGAATGTAAGGCCAGAATCAAGTAGTACACAAGTCAACCTCACAATTAGTACCTTAGTGAATAAACCCGTGGTGTGTGGTATGCAGCCCTGATCATGACCTTACAGTATATCCCTGATTCTCTGTGTGTTTGTTCTGGATGTTAAAGATATATTATGGCGGACTCACCAGAGCCTGCATGTCGTACATACTGCGCAGATGATCCCAAATCACCTTGGATGAGATCTGGCGCCCGATGTTCTGGCTGAACTTGTCCCGGATACAGATCATGTGAAAATGCCGATTCACACCTGGAAAAAAAAAAACCAAGATGAGATGGCATGCAGACTCCTCACGTTCTTGGTAATAGCATAAAATGAGGAGTCAGAATCCTAATTATAAATACTTAATTTCACATTCCCAGATAATAAGATAGATAAACACATGTCATGTCCATCAATACCTGTCCAGGGTACGCTATGGGGGCTGGCAGCGCTAAATGGCATTATTACCTGGGAACGTGAAACAAGGCACTAACAATATAATAATCACAGTAATAATACAACAATATAATATTCACAGTAATAATACAACAATATAATATTCACAGTAATAATACAATCAAATAATCATAGTAATAATACAACAATATAATATTCACAGTAATAATAATACTGTGGATATATTGCAGTAAGATGATTATTATATATTTTTTATTATTAATTATTATATTATTATATTATTTATTATTATATTATGATTATTATTATATTAGTTATTATTAATTATTTTTTAATTATATTATTTATTATTTATTATTATGATTATTATGATTTTCCTGGTTCCCTCTGGAGGCCCCCGGAGAGGCCGCACGGAGCTGCCGCAGACCCCCACCCCTCTACCGGCTGCTCAGTTTACTCCAGGCCGGGGATAACCTGCGGCCTCCACTTACCGACCGGTTTGTGGCCGAGCATCGCGTGGAATAGACACACCTCGACCTCGGGGCTCCACAGCACCGGCTCCTCGGCGGTGGGTTCGGGGGCCGGATCCGGTCTCTCCGCGGCATTATCCCCGGCCTCCGTCTCACCCATCGCGGCCGCAAGTGCTGGGAAACACCGAGGACAAGCGGCCTCCGCTGGCGGCTAGAGGTACTGCACCGACACAGCGCCACCTAATGGAGAATCTGAGGTACTGCACCGACACAGCTCCACCTAATGGACAATCTGAGGTACTGCACCGACACAGCGCCACCTAATGGACAATCTGAGGTACTGCACCGACACAGCGCCACCTAATGGACAATCTGAGGTACTGCACTGACACAGCGTTTCCTAATGGCCAATCTGAGGTACTGCACTGACACAGCGTTACCTAATGGCCAATCTGAGGTACTGCACCGACACAGCGCCACCTAATGGACAATCTGAGGTACTGCATCGACACAGCGCCACCTAATGGACACTCTCAGGTACTGCACTGACACAGCGTTTCCTAATGGCCAATCTGAGGTACTGCACTGACACAGCGCCACCTAATGGCCAATCTGAGGTACTGCACCGATACAGCGCCACCTAATGGCCAATCTGAGGTACTGCACCGATACAGCGCCACCTAATGGCCAATCTGAGGTACTGCACTGACACAGCGCCACCTAATGAGGAATGTGAGGTACTGCACTGACACAGCGCCACCTAATGGACAATCTGAGGTACTGCACCGACACAGCGCCACCTAATGGCCAATCTGAGGTACTGCACCGATACAGCGCCACCTAATGGCCAATCTGAGGTACTGCACTGACACAGCGCCACCTCATGAGGAATGTGAGGTACTGCACTGACACAGCGCCACCTAAGGGACAATCTGAGGTACTGCACTGACACAGCGTTACCTAATGGCCAATCTGAGGTACTGCACCGACACAGCGCCACCTAATGGCCAATCTGAGGTACTGCACTGACACAGCGCCACCTAATGGACAATCTGAGGTACTGCACCGACACAGCGCCACCTAATGGACAATCTGAGGTACTGCACTGACACAGCGCCACCTCATGAGGAATGTGAGGTTCTGCATCGACACAGCACCACCTCATGGGAAATCTGAGGTACTGACACAGCACCACCTAATGGAAAAGCAACTATACTGTATGGTTACTGCGCCACCTAATGGGAAATCCAAGGTACTGCACTGACGCAGTGTGTATGCCTCTATGTATGTGTGTATGTCTCTGTATGTATGTGTGATTGTCTCTGTATGTATGTGTGATTGTCTGTTTGTATGTGTGATTGTCTGTTTGCATGTTTGTCTGTATGTATATCTATTTGTCTGTATGTGTGTCTGTGTGTCTGCGTATCTGTATGTCAGTCTGTGCCCTGTGTATCTGTATGTTTGTCGCTGTTTGTATCTGGAAGAGTGTCATTCTGTGTATTTGACAATGTTTGTCAAGTGTTTGTGTTTCTGCATGTGTGTCTGTGTGTATATATGTATCTTTGTGTTAGTTTGTGTGTCTGCATTTGCATGTGTGTCAGTGTGTGTATGTGTGTCGTGCATGTATTCGTATGTGTTATATGGTGTGTATCTGCATGTATATCAGTGTATGCACCGGTGTGTCTGTGTAACTGTTACCCCACCACACACACTGCCACCCCTCTTCACCCTGCCATATTTACAATAACTCCACCAATCCGGTCACTCACCCATGCCATACTCACCTCTCATCGCTCTGCCATATTCACCCCATTACACTCACCTTCTCTCGCACTGTCATACTTACACCCCATATCCTGTCACACTCTTTCCCAATAACACTGTCATACTCACCCCCTTTCAAACTGCCACACTCACCCTATCTCATTAACCACTCCAATTCTGTCATACTCAAGCCCCCAACCATGCCACACTAACCCTGTGGGACGTGAATGAGACACATGGAGGGGCTAAGGGATGCGGATGGGACGTATGGGGGGGCAAGGGCAATTTTCACACCGGTGCTCCATGGTTTCTAGTTACGCCTCTGCCAGTGTATATAACTTTAGAATGATTATACCCTCCTGTGTGAAGTACCGCTGTCTCACCCAAGCATCAGCCGAGACTTAGTGAAGGGTGAAGAGGAACTGTTTTAATTGAGACAAGTACACAGATTTATATCCAGACCCCCAGCATGGGGTTTCCATTCATAACACTACAAGCCCGCCCAGACGACTCTGTGTCTTGGTGATTATTGAGGCAGATTTTGGTTAAATTCATTATCTCCCGGATACAGAGAGTGCAATACATAAAACACCCCAAAACACATGTAATAATACAAAGCACCCCCACATGCCATACATCCCCGGAAAGGTCTCTCTTTGGAGCGCACATTCTGTCCAAAAAGAGACCGGATCAGACATGGCTAGCCCAAATTTGATGGAAGTACAAAGTTCAGCAGGACACGGCTAGTCTTCGATCCGGTGCTGGCAAGAGCTCCCTGGTCACCTAAAGACACGGCACTTTCCGTGGGTACATGGAGCTCACCCAAGTCTTTTGTTTAATCCGATGCCTCTCTACCTCCTCTGTTAACCCTCCAATAAGTGCCCTGATTATGGGTCCTGGGACCTAAAGCTCTTTAATTAAAGTTTTAGCATATCGCGGAGACTCTGTGATCCGCTTTAGAGTTCCATGATAATTTAGGGTTGCTTCAGTAAGGCACACCATGTCCCAGCTTCCTAGCAGAGGATAAGCGATTCTGGACAGCAAGAAAGTGGTGCTGGGCTGGGAGACATGGGCTGGAGAGTTTGTCCATAGTGTTACAGTCTTTTTAGAGGTGGAAGCCTGGGAGACATGTACCCAGCGTAAGTGACCAGAGGGTCCTTCACAGGGAGATCAAAGTACTGTGTGTGTTACTGTTCTGCCAAGTGAGTAATGTAAAGTACCAAGTACAGCTCCACCCAGTGGATGATCAAAGATAATGCATCAGCCACAGAGCCACAGGGATAACATATACTGTAACTGACACTGAGGGAGACCAGAGGTTCTGCACCAACACAGCACCATAATCTTTAGATTATTAGCATTTGTTAATAGTTATTGCCTCCTAATTTTCTAACCATACTTATGAAAAGGACATTTCAAGCTCCATAACTCTTACAGCTGCTGTGATGCTAGGAGAGCCTGGACCCTGCACTGCACATGGGAGCTGACAGTCTGCACCAGGCAGATCCCTCTAAATCCTAGACACTCATGCACCTCGAATACACACAAACATGAGGGTGGCTAATATATTATGGATTTTGTTCATTTCTGTCTGGATGTGTGTTGGTTGACATTGTGCATATCAGTGTGTGTCTGTGAGTGTGTTTATCTGTGTGTGTCAGTCAGTGTGTATCAGTCAATGTGTTTGTAATTTTGTATCTGAGTGTTTTTAGCAGTTAGAATGTGTGACTAAATATTTGTGCTTGTATTGCGAAGTGTCTGTGTGAGTGTGTATGAGTAGCTGTAATTGTGTGTTCATATCAGTGTGTATGAGCAGATGTGAGTGTGTGTCTGTGTGTATGGGTAGCTGTGATTGTGTGTCTGTGTGAGTGTTTATGAGTAGCTGTGAGTGTGTGTCTGGGTGAGTGTTTATGTGTGTGTGTGTGTGTGATTTGTATCTGTGTTCATGTCAGGCAGTATGTGCCATGGGGCACCCATGGGGGGCACAGGGACTTTTGATAAAAGCCCTTGTGACGGAATGCCTGCCACCCCGACTGGGTGCCTCCATCAAACATGGCTCCTAGTGCTCGCCAAGGACCATCAACACCGCACTCGACACCATAACCACCGCCAACCCCATGAACCGCCGCAGCTTGGTTTGGGGTTTTGCTGTCCTCCACCCACCCTGGATCCAAGACCGAGCTCCAGCTCCAGTGGATGAACCTCTCCTAAATCCAGAGAGCAGGAACAAGGAACAAGAACAGCTCTAGTGCTGATACTCTGGGGAGTATAGTGATTATAGCAATCCCCAGAGTGTAGTTCTCCAATCCCCCAAACATGAGCCAAGACATGCAGGGGTAAGCAGGTCTGTTCAATGGAAGCAAGCACTCACAATTTATACAATTCCTCAGGCCAGAGGCACACCCCCTGGACCTGATGGTATACAGGCACATAAAGCACATAAACCAATCAAAACAATACAACAACACTCCCACATACACAGTAAAATCCCTCCCTTCTTGTGGCGGAACTAACCGCGCCACTATGCACTGGAGAAGCCTGGTTGCTCGCCTGCTCCCTTTAGATTATGGCCCTGCAGTTCAGAGCTGTTATTTTCCCTGCTGAAACATTTATTTGTGCCTTTCTGCCAGGGTGTTCGGTAGATTCCATCTACCGAACAAACTACCGAACAATGGACCGTCAATTGACCGCCCAGAAGCTGCGGTTAACTGCAGCTTAATTGATGAACGCTGGGAGGCCTTTGTTCAGTTGCCGAACACGTGGCATCAGCCATTTTACCTCCCGAACGGCCAGCGGTGTTCAGCGCCCAAACTATGAACTGAAAACGGACACTTAATTGCGCGAACACCGCTGAGCCGCCAGCCTCCTTACCTTCGCATTCGGTAGTGGAACCAAATGACTATTCATTCGGTAATTTAACCGGATCAACAGCATCACCCCAGATAGCCATGCCATGGAGCCTATTCGTGTAACGAAAGACTATGGGAAAGAATTTGGCTTCATGGCGATTGAACTGTATGTATGTGATCTGAGCGCCATTCAGTAATAATGTGCGCTCAGATCTAAGCTATCTGGGGATATGTAGAATGTGTATGTTTTATGTACTGAATGTAGCTATATGTAATTTTATGTCTTTTACTGTCTGTTTTCTGCCATGTGGTTAATGGAGTTTTGCCTCTGTCCGTGGAGATAATTGGATTACTTCCCAATTATCTCCAGGACAGAGAGGAGGGATTGTGATGCATTGTGGGATTGTTGAAATGTGTAAGGCTGTGATTGTCCCTTTTACCCTTTGTGTCCCAGTCTCCCATCTGGTCCCCTAGGGGAGTGTCCACCAGGTGGGAGACCTGCATAAAAGCCGGGCAGTTATGCCCAGTAAACCAGATTCTGCTTGACCCTCAAACCGAAGTGTCGCCTCGTCTTTGGGGGGATTTACTGTATGCTGTTAGAGACTGATTG